CAGGGCCACTTCTTCAATAGAAATCGAAGTGCTGGGCCAAAACACGGTCGACCACTTTTCTGCCGTGTATCAAGAGTTAAAGGTATTCTAAGGTCAGCCAATTTCCGAGCAGTTCGACGGGTTCCGGTCTGGATCCACAAATCACGTGGGTGAAGGAATGACCAACCCCTTAAGGGGCATCCAAAAAAAAAAACAGATCCACGCGATCACGCTTGATGATTCCTGGTTGGTTTTCTCCAGCATTTTGGGCAGTTGATAGCAGTTGCACTGCCTGCATGACAGCTGAGTATGGGCACCGAAAAGGAAGGCTTGAAAGTCCTACTCAGGAATAGTCTTCCCCTACAAAGCACACACCTGGTGTTCTACTACGGGTGGTCCGATGATGGGTCACCCACCTGTAGCGCCCTATAGGGTCACCGGAAGCCGACCTCAGTCTTTCACTGACCAAGGCTCACAAAGTCGATGATGCTGCCCTTCTTCAAATGCTCTGAGATCACCTCCCGGATCGCAGAAGGGGATCATCAGTTGTCTGTTCAACTGAGCTGCCATCCCCAAACCAGGGTACACCCGCGTTTTCACCATGAGGTGACACGCTCGGTTTCTCACAGTCTTGGAGGCCGCTCACGTCCTTCCAGGTGGCGTTCAAAAAAGGGGCGAGTTCCAGACCCTCCGTGAGACGTGAACCGTTGATCCTGTGGAAAGCCCACCTGCCACTGCTCCAATCGAAGAAAACACCTGCTGACTGATTGTTGGTTCAAGTGGTAGAAACAAAAGCACATCGTCTTTTCTGAATGCATGTAGCTCCAAATGCCATGTTCTGGCTGTCAGCACCTCACTCTCCTCAAGAGCTTCTTGCAAAGGAAGGGCCAAATCTGTGCAAAGATCGAATATCAGCAAACAACAGTGATGCTTGATATATAGGCCCCCACGTGTTTTGAGGCAAAAGCAGCTCAAGGTGCACTCCCAGAAAAGGAGCCAAAGGTGATGCAAAACAAACAAAGTTTCTTGGATGAGTTCTGCCATCCAATTGGAGTCGGCCCTTGGTACTCCCGTGTTCACCCACCCATAGCACTTGCCAAGCGGCACCATACGGCTTGCTGGCCTTGGACGATGTGGAAGACAAGGAAGAATTGCAAAGCATGCTATAGTCGGCAGAGGCACTTGTACTTGTAGCCCTTGTTGACAAAGCAAACCAATACTTGGGCACCATGCTTCATGTTTCATAGGCAGCGGGAAGGTACAAGTAGTCGTTGGGAGGGGCTTCCCACAGCTTCATGTTTCGCTGCATCAGCATGAGTTTTGATCCTCTGGTTCGCTGGCTTCGCCAGGCCTTTCACTTGGCTGAATCGTACCCCTTCGGCCATCAGCGCTATTTTTTTGGGGGGATAAGTCGCAAAAAGACATTGGTCCAAGGGCGGAGGAAGCAGGCTTCGCGCATTCGAAGCAGGGTTCTTAGGAACTATTGAACTCTGCAACATGTTCTCAAAAGACTAAGAAGCTGTAGAGGAGTTTCATGGCCTGCTGTTGAGACCACACAGATGCGGGATCTATCATTCAACATATCCTTCTTTGAATACCGCAACTTGGTCTTCCCAGGTGCCCTCTGCACGCCTTTTCTTCCGAAGTCCAATTCTTCAGGCATCTCCCATTATATTCTCCCATCATACTGCCCACCTCCTCCCACCAGTCACCCTCTGTCCCATCCTCCCACCCCAGTCCGATCGCCGGTCACCGATCCTCCCGTCCGCGATCCGATCCACGAAGCCCAGCGGCTCGGTTCAAGAAGTTGGGACACATCCACGCGATGAAGCGCTTCGAGCGCACGCCCAGGTCCCGGCCTCGAGAACACGCGGGGCGCTGAAACCCCACCGGGTGGCCAGGTACCGAGGTGAAGAAGAGAAAACACCGGTGGCCACCGGTGCCGTGGTCAGGGGTCACACAACGAGGCGCACCAGCTAGCGGCATGAGAATGCTGAACACAGGGGTATTTGCTCCATGCAAGAGTGATCCAAACATGTAACACCACAGTTGATGGACTAGGAGTGACTATGACAATGAACATCCGATTCTCTGTTCCATTCACGATCCGCTATCCCTGAGGCAAACCTGTGTCCATCAGTTGTAGCCGCAGGACTGGAACGTAATGTCCACATAATATGTGACACGGTTGAGCCGAGGGACTTGGTAATTTGCCACCCAAGCAACGAACCAGGAGCAACCTGAACAGATCTGACCTCCTCAACTCCGGTGGCATCATGCCCGAAACCTGCAGAAAAAGTACGTTCAACAGCTGGCTGATGAACCGTGGAAGCAATCTAGTCCCCGGGGGTGAGGCAAAATGCTTCCGAAATGGTCTCAGCTGATCATGGTGCAGGTGTTGAATGCTGCCCAGTGGACAACCGAATTTGCTCCGGCCCTCCACACACCACCCCCATCCATAGACGAGTCAGGCCAAGGCACTTGTGACCTTGGGGTAGCGCTCATAGAGCCATGAGAACCCGGGTTCCTTCAAGTACCTCACAACGCCCGAGAACCCCACTGAAGGTAGGAATGTGTGCGGGGAAGAACTATAAGAAATGAGGGGACCCAAACCCAGAGGTTGCCAAACCACCAGGCTCCACCCTTACTTAGGGGAAAGTCATCTTGCAGCTATATATGATCTTTTGGGGTTCTTCTCCTATACTATCTATTACTATATTCTGCAAGCTCTCTCCTGTCGTCCCAAAAGCCTCGCCACACCAACGCCAGGTCGCTCCGGGGGATTTTCAAAGTGCCGCCAGATTGGCATCTGCGGAGACTCCGTGTCGATGTATGTGTCCCGGATCGCAAAAGTATCCTCAACGCAGGCCGTGAAAGACAGCGGCCCACTGCTTGGGGCGCTTCTCGTTGCCACAGCGAGCATCATACCCATGTCCCCGTGGGTCCTCCCAGCACCAAGATGCATGGTATGACACTCTTGGAGAAGGTACTGCATACTTGAAATCAAGATCCCCATGTCAAAGCAGTACCGGCACTCTCTCGAGCAAGCAAATCCAACATGTCGATCGGATCGACCGGTGGATTTCCAGAGCAACACATCGACCGGTGAGCCATTTCACCCTGCAAAGGGCCGAGAACGACACGAGAACGACCCGCCTTGTAATATAGTTATCACTGGTCCACCTCAGAAGCGCCTTGCTTCTCAGAAGCCAAACATGAACAGTCATCTTTGGGAAGGTCGACCCCCTTCTACTATCAATCAAGCACGAAGGCGTGAACACACAGTGGGGAATGCTTGCGGAGAAACACAATGAAATACATCGCATCTAGACCGAACACCAACCACTCTCCTCTTGTGATTTGCCCACGAACCAGCCCTCCTAGGCAAATTTGACAGAAACTAGTTGATCTTTGTGTAGCTGATCATGGACTTTTTCTTGGGGTTGGGGGCATGGACATTGACAGCATCGTGATTCTTCCGCCCAAGCAAAGGACTAGCTCACGACTTCATTCCATCGCTGTGCAACATGTTCGGACCATGATGGAAACCCCCTGGTCCTCCTCCCGCCCAAAAAAATGAGCAGGCTGGTGCACTGACTGCACCCGGGAGAAGGTGCGTAGAACTCTCTCTCTCTCTCTCTCTCTCCGTGGCTCGTTGAAGACTGAGGTGGCCATCAGCCCACAGGGGAAGATCTCCTCGCCCGAGGAGGTCACACCTGAGAAGGTCATCACGGAGCTTCACCGGTGGAAACCGCTTCCGACACCGGTCTCCGGTGTGTTCGTCCGAACACACGGTGTGTGGGATTCGGTGTGGATTCCCTATATATTCCCTCCGTGAACGGGTGTGGCGTCTGAAGGGCGAACCCCCCCCTCCTGAGTCAGATGAGTTCTGGTATTTTACAAGTATGACTCGACGACTCCATCGAAGCGAAGAACGAAGACGTGTGGTCTCCGGTTAAAAAAACAAATCACAGGGAGACCATGGGTCTTGGGTTTGAACGTGCTGATGTAAGGCATACTTCAGCTGTCTTTTCCTTCACAAGCTGACAGCAGGGCACAAAGGGCTACTTCAGCTGTTTTCTCCTAAAGCCAATGTGCAATAAAGTTTTTATTCAATAAAGGATGACGCACCTTATCCGAGGTCACCACTCACCAAACCATCAAACACTTGCTATTCTCTGACGATGAGAAGTGAATGGCCCAGTTCTTTCATTGTAGGGTGCCCAGCAGGTGGAGGGTATTCTGTTGTTCCTGAGGCTAAAAACATGGAATTATTTCTCTTTGACTCACTCTTGTTTCCCTTTGCCTCACTTATTTACGACTTACAAGTCTTTTTCCAGAAGTACATGAACATGTACAACATCAGCTCGTCATGAAATCCAGTGAGCCTTCAACCATCCCCTGAATTGGCCTACCAAGTCCTACCATGATTGGGACCATCCAACATATGTTCCACTGGTTCCAACATTCTTGTCCGACCTCCAGATTGGGTTTCCCATCCACCAGCGCGGTGCACAAATCACTTGGCTCGGGCGGCGGGAGTGCTGGGCGCAGCGCTGCAGGGCCTGGTCCTGTGCCAGGTGACCATGGAGCTGCGGCCGCACCACCGAGCCTGGGCGGAACACCGTGGTAGACGGTGCCAAGCACAACCCTCCGACAAAAGACCAACACGAACGGCAAAACGAGCAAGCAATGGACACTTTTTGGGGGGGGTGGGCTTTTGCCAAAGGTTGTGGTCAGTCAATGGCAAGTTTGACTGGGCAGGTCTCCTGAGCAACCCTAATAGCGAGTATATTAGCATCAAAATGAAGATCTGCACGTTGAGACCAACAAGCCACACCATCATAGAAACATGACCACTACAAAGTGGAAGGTTGAAGTGATGGTACGGTGGGACTGTTATGCTAGTGAAGCAAAGGCTTTATATATAATGTAAATGATGTTGTTTTTGGGTCCCCTAAAACCTAACCTGGCATTTGAATTGGATTGTTTTAGGACTCCTGGTATGTGTTTTCTTCATTTGAAGAACCGTGCTGAGTTAGCTTCTTATGGATAGAGGTTTTATGACCACTGAAGCAACGGCTATGGGGAGTGTAGGGAGTCACCTTCCTTTCCAAATGATATATACTCAAAGATAAAGATAAAGGTAGACACTCAAAATTGACCCCTCTGCTCCACTGCTTGTGCCTGACTTGCTTCACTATTTTCCTGTAAAAAAGAAGTGATGCAGTTCATGTGAGTTTGTAGGAGTGTCAACGAGCTTGCTTTGCAGTCATTTAGTGATCGTAAGTTCAGGCGCTCGGCCGAACATGGAAAAACTGATCCGACTTAAAATCCGAAGAAACCCGTGGAACCATATAGGTTCACCAAGCAAACCAAAAGGTGCATTAGAGATCAGACCTTCCAGTAGTTCAGTGCAACATTAGACCGTCACCTTTCAACTGTCCAACGACAACGACAACAAATTGAAAGACAGGTTGCACCTTCCCAACCGGCACAAGACGGCCGAGCTGCTCATGTATGAGAAGTAGTTCTGCCAAAAGGGTTTCACCTGCGCCCGCTGAGGAATCGTCGAGCCTGGTCACACTGACTGTGCATACTGCGCACCTCCTACTGTCGGCATACTGCACCACCATTCACCCCCAGGGTGAATGGTGCAATAGGGAGACCCCCAACCCCAACCAATGGGTGTGGGTTTAGTTCAAACTACTCTTCTTCCAGAGGGTCGAACTGAACTGGGAGGTCTCCCATTAATACACACCCATGTGAGTAGGAGGGTATGATTCCAGAAGGACTCCTTCTGCGCCGAGGGAAACACTGCCAAGGCCTCGTAGTAGACTTGGATGGGCGGCTCGAGATCTATGGGCAGCTTCCTTGGATGGGCGGTCACTGGTGAAGAGCACTGTGACAACGTAGCCACTTGTAGCAGGCAAATGCACGTGCTTGGGCTCACTTGAAATGATGGTGAATGGAGACTATTGTGGATTATGCTATATCTAATCTATAATTAGTAATATATACTACATATTCGTGGGAGAGTGCTTTATGCTATATCTAATCTATAATTAGTAATATATACTACATATTCGTGGGAGAGTGCTTTTGCTGACGTACCAGTTTCTCAGTGGAATGGGCTGTCCCCAAAACTCCCCGCAGTGCGTGCGTACGACCGGCGTATGACCCGGGGGTTCGGAGACCAATTCACCACTATCCGACACCATGTTCGCTTCATTCCTGGAGAAGTGAACCATATTCCATCTCCAAAAGCATGTGATGGGCTGTGCATCTTTCCCAGCCATCTACCCTTTAGGGTAGAGATGGATAGAGAATGGTAATGGCAACTATGAGCACTCTCTTTCTGATTTCGGTGAACTGCACAAGTGTAAGGCTGATGGTCAAAAGAGTGGGGTCCCAGAAGAGCGGTCTCCGTCTCACCCAAACCTCCAAAAAGTCGGAGCGTGCCCTGCCTCGACCATTTCGGGAGGATGCTGAAGGGTCATCCCAGTCTTTCAGATGGGGCTCCAATGCGTGGTGCCAGTTTCCAACTGTTCAAACACCAATTGTGAATCTTAGACTTCTTGTTGGAGACCAATTGATGGAACCAGCGACTCACCTTTCAACTACGTTCAACCGTTGAACCAAAACAGTTCGCTACACCCAGCCTCAGGCTTTATTTCTACACTCTGACTGCCTCACCAACATGGAAGTGGATGGCAGGGGCGCATGGATGACCACGTTCCTTTACAAGCAAGTGATGTTCCACTTCCGTGTGATGTGTTCGTTGGACGGTCTCCAATCAGACCGTGTTGGTCTGGGATTCGATGGCCCGTGGCTTTGCCCTCCCCTTTCTTCTCTCCAGGCATCATGGTGTAGGTGCACGACGACGGGGCATGGCAGGGAAGGACGACATTTTGCCCCATGAAATCCCAAGAACCTCAGATCCGGAGATCGGGATCCGCCGGATGGAGATCGGAACCTATCGGCGGCGACCCGTGGGGTTCCGCTTTGAACGACTCGCGACCCGTAGACGCCCGATGAACGGACAATGAGAACTTCCTCTACTTGGTGGGGTGAAATATGGTGAAATGGCAGGCTGGGAGGTGGTTGAATTAGTTTCAGTGACATCAGTGACGCACAAAGAACCTAAGAAACCAATCTCTCTTTGCACTTCCAAATGGGTCTTTGAGGACAAACCATTGTATACACGATTATACACGTGTTTTGTTGAAAGACGTTGAAAGGACCGCAGACTGAAACCGTTCCAGTTCTTTTTTTTTCAGAGTCAATCTCTTAGTTCTCCAGTTTCTTCTCCCACCTCCCAGGCCTCCCGCCTCCAGCCAGCCCACGGGGTGAAAGGACCGAAATCGAGGGCCATCGCTCAGCTGAGCCGCTGCTCCGGCCATCGATCTCGTTGGCGGGACCGTCGTAGAGGATCCGCAGCTGGGAAGCGCTCAGGGAGACCAACAAGGTGCCTCAGCTAAGACAAGGTGCCTCATGTTTCGAGGTGCCTCAGGGAGACCAAGGTGAGGTGCAGAAGTGTTTTGGAGCTCCAAAACCATTTGGACCACACATTGTTTTGTTTGTTTGATTTTCTCAAAGGTTTTTTGTGTCTGGCTTTGAGGCTTCGAACTGGTTTGAGGTCCGTACTTGGTAGATCCACAATAGAGGGTCGATTGCAATGTACTATTGTACCTCAGCCCCATTGCTTGGGAACAAACAATAGAGGGGAACAGTAGGGGGTGTCCCCTGTATTAATCAACCAACCAATGGTAAAAAGCCATCCATGGCCCCTCTACCCCCGAAAGCCCATGCTGGGCTTGACTCTGCCCAAGAAAGGTCATCTGCCCCACTGCCCCATCTTCTGACGGTCTCCCAGCGGCAAAGAACGCAGTGACGGCGAGTTGTGCAAGTTCTTAGCTCACCTCATACGGTTACTTAAACATTGGGTACATCCAAGTCGTGCAGTATGATGATCATTGCTAATACTATGGGTAACTGAGCCACGAGATACTATTGTCACTATTGTCATAACTGATTGAGAGACATTGAGAGTAGTCCTTTGCCGACCAATGCTGTCAATTAATTGGATATACCCAACTCACACCCAAATGGGTCCTCAGGTCGTTGGAATGCTAGGTTTACACCAGTTGCTTTATTTCCAGCCGATCCTGTGTGCCTCGCCTTCGCGCCTGCCACCAAGGGACCAAGGCCCATGCAACAAAAGAGGATGCCAATGATCGAAGAGGAGAGAAAGACCATCTTCCAACTCAAAACGAACCTCAGAAAAGGCGATTCCAATCGGAGGTACGGAGGTACAAAGACCCCTATAGATGGTCAATGGACCATTGAACCTCAGTAGAGGGATCGATTCCAACCTCACAGAGAGACCATCTTCCCTGCCTCCCAAGGCCCTCCAGCACCTCCCACCTTGCTTAGTATTCACTGGCTCCTGGCTGCTGGCGGTGTCCAAGGGAAATCCAGAAGAAGCATCATTGTTGACCTACGTACTGTAAAAAGGCTATCTTTCCAATGCAGGAACAAGACAGGAACACAGATACATGGTAGGCACAACAGCGAAACAATGAGGGCGGCCTGACCTACGTACTGCTGCGTAGTTCAACAAGAACAGCGCCACTTTCGAAAACTGGCATTAACCACCACGTGGGTGATGTCTAGACCATGCGTGGACCCCTTTAAGTGGAAAACGTAAAGCAAACCTCGGACATATCAACCATCATTACAACTGAGATACCAGATTTTGTGCATGAGACCATTGGTCACAAAATTACACATCTTGTTTCCAAACACTGGTGTAAGCAAGCGCAAGGCCATCTTCAAGAAACTCCGTTGTTCTGGCGTTTCCACGGCCAATGTGCTTGTTCCCGTCTTTCATCAACAACCTACTGCTGCAAGATGCGTGTGGAGCCTAAACATGTCTAGACCATTCTCCACCATCGCTCTCAGCTGCAAACAATCTTACATTTACAATCATTTACCATCAGTTTTAGTATATGTTGTGTTCATTTGTGTTCTGCATATTCGATATGTGCTCCCTAAAGTACCCTGAATCAAGTAGAAGAATGGTTAAAGCGGCCTGGTCTATTTCGGGGTGGCGGACCTCATCATGTAATGACAGCCTGCGCCTCCTGTCCACCCGATGTCGAGTGGCTGTACAGAGCGCATGGTCTGCTGGGCGAACGGGGTGGAGGAGGGTCGTTGATGTTTCACACTCGTAATGCCTCAGGTGCAGTCGAGATAGCTGACAGCTGTAAGTAAGAACAGCAAAAAGGAAGACATCTGGGAGTGGGGTGACGGGTGCTACATTGTGTGTATACTTGAGGCCAAGGGGGGGGCGAAAGCTAGCGCTCCAGAATGGGAAAGTGGAGGGCAGCGAGGTAGGAAAAAACACGGCGCTCTTTTTGGAGGCAGGGGTGAAGAGTCCTTTATATGTGGCTCTTTGCCCGGATCCTCCTGCGAGAGAAGAGAGAGAAGAGAGACGGAAAGACGAGAGACAGAGAGGAGAGAGAGAGAGAGAGAGGAGAGAGAGATGAGAGAGAGAGAGAGAGACAGTGAGACAGTGAGACAGTGAGAGTGAGCGAGTGCGGCCGCAAGATACGCAACGCTAACCGCATGCCAAAGAGCGACGACAGGACGGAGTCGAACTTGCGAAGAGGGAGGAGGGAGGGA